TTTGGAGATTATTGATGGCCAATAGTTTCTGGGGGGAAAAAAAGTTTTAATTGCTCTAGTTGCTTTTATTTGGTAGTAAATTGACAAAGAAAAAAGTGGATAATGAGAGAAGGGGGAGACTGGGAAGCGAACCCACGACAGCCGCATTGAAAACTAGAGCCTCCATATGTGGGTTGTGCTTAACCCCTGCACCACCACAGCACACTCTGCCAGTGGTTTTTTAAAACTCAGATTTCTATGTTAATATATATTTTACACCGTTCTGTGTTGAGTTAACATGTTTGTAGTGTTAACTTTTGACAAAATACACTAGTGTTGAGTAAGTCAACACTGATGTGTGTTTAATTTCAACTACTGTGAGTGTTGATTCAACTATATCACAAGTAACACTTTCTAAAGTGTAATTTCTACACCATCCAGAGTGGACCAATATATACATTTTCAAAATGTTGAATTCAACTCTGTAGGAGTTGATGGAACACTTCCAAATTTGCTGTGTATCTTTGAGGAAAACCTTGACTTGGGATTAAGCTAGTTTTCGGACAAAACGGGGGTCCAAAAGGTAAGCTGTGCTCTAATAAAATGGCTAAATAATACATTTGTAACAGAAACGTCTTCAGCGGTTTAATCAGCTCATGTTAGTGGGCAAATACTGCCTCGTGAACCTTCACATTTTTTTAATTTTTATTTTTTATTTTAAGACCCAAACAGGAAGCTTCAAAAATAAACTACCATGCATGTACATAAACTCTTCTTTTTCTCTGTGAGGATCCGAGGCTTTGCAGCGAATCACTCTGCTCCCACTGGCATGACTCTCCCTGACATTAAACAGCGGGATGACGTGATCATTGGTGTTTAAAATAAAATATCTTGTGTTCTGCGACTGAACGTTCTCCCTGCGCCTTGTCAGACCCTGAGTGTATGTGTGTAGACAGAAATAGACAACCACCCACATATCATTAGGGAGATGCAGAGAGAGAGAGAGACGGGCTGTGACAGCGTAGGATTCTGAAGCGGTGCTGAAGAAAAAGAAAATATGGTGGTCACAGCTCAACACCTCGTGTTTCGTGCTGCATTCAGATGTAAGAAATGCGTTTCTGGGATTTGGTTTAGGAGTTTGCTGGGTCCCCCCCCTGCAAGTTAGCTCTTATAATTTCCACAGCGAACTTCTCTGGTAATCTGAATTAGGATGTGAAGTGTGTGGGAGGGGTGTGGGCCATGTCGCTACACGCTCGTACTTTAATGGACTTAATGATGTAGAAGGAGTCCGCCCTCTTGTGGAGTGCTGGGGGAAAGGGAAAAAAATGTTTTATTTTGCTCGGCATTACAGGATATTTTGTGGAGCACTTCAGTTTCCACCCTCTTACCTAACAGTTTCATGATTCATTGTGTGGGCTGAAACATTTGTTTTACCCGAATCTCTGCAATAAATCATGGACATAATCATCAAGTGTTTTGTGTGCTACTGTAAAAAAAAAAAAAAAAAGATTTCCTGACTGATGTTTATAAAGGAGCCGATTAAAACGTTTAAATGTCGTCGGTGCATTGTTTTATTTGTTTGTTTCCTGTCTGTCTCCAGGAAGCTGCTGAATGTGAAGATAATCGATGACGAGGAATATGAGAAGAATAAGACGTTCACCATTGTGTTGGAGGAACCCGTGCTGCTGGAGGTGGGACAGAGGCATGGTGAGTCTCTTCAGTCATGAGTTTCTCCATGTTTAATGATGGAAGAGAGGGTGAGCTCGGTTCTCTGCCGCGTGTTTTGGAGGATCAGAAAGTAGCATTTTGGGCTCATGTGACCAGACTACCTTTCCCCACAAGGCTAGCTGTGTCTCTTTCATGGTTTGTGACAGAGCTGGGGGGGGTTGATGCTTTCTTTCAACACTAGCTGTTTGTACGTAACTTCGGTGATGTTCCACTACAGTCGGAAACACACAATTTCGCACCTGCTATGTTTCCATTAAAAGAAGAAATGCGTTAAAAATCACGTTAACATGTTTGTTCACGCGACATCATTAAAAAAACATGGCGCGCCACCATCTTCCTGTCATCTTCTTCGTCATTTCCTCCAGTAGTAAGGTCCAGTTGTTGAACGCATGAGACGTGTGATGTGACAGAAATGTTTCCATCGCAGTTTCATCCTAGCACAAAGAATTTATATTGAAAAACAAGAGGTTTTTTTTTTTAATTCCAGTGTTGTTCACTGATGTTCTCTCAAACCTCTGAAACGTCACAGGATGCCTGGCTCTAGTTATAGGTGCAATCAAAGTTTTTGCTTCTGCCGATCTGCACAGGGGACACCAATGACAACAAAACGGCGGTGGGTCCAGAGGACGTGTCAAAGATGGGCTGCCCCGTCCTGGGAGAGCACACCAAGCTGGAGGTGGTCATTGAGGAATCCTACGAGTTCAAGGTAACTTAAAAGCCAGCAGTTCTGAGCCACTCTCCTCCTAAAACAAGATCTCTTGTTTACATCTTGCGCTGGCGGATAAACAGCATAGTTGACGCTGTTTTTACCTGGCTGTAATTCATTTGAAACATGAAGCTGCTAAGAATTATTCTGTAGACACGTCATATTATTTGCGCTGAGAAAGTTAGAGTGCGAACAGTTTGCTGCTGGATATGTGTCTGTAAGTCCTTTCGTTATTTTGAATCAACACGATGTATCATTTACATCAGCAAGTAGAGGATTCTTTATTTCTGTCTCAGTTTTCTGGACAAGCTTGTCAAAGTTCTTGATGGAAAGCAGAGGCATTTTGAGGCTCTGATTTGGCTTGTAGGTGAGAAAATAAAGAAAATTAAAAAATACCACAGTCTTTAAATTTCAAGTTATGAGGGTAGAGAGCATAAAAGCTCTGTATGTTAAGAGACAAAACCTAGAGACCAAGAGTAATCTCCAAATGTTATAGCAGTGTTCATCAAATTACATAATTTCATCTTTTACAGCAACTATCTTAACTCAGCCAAAGATCTGTGTTGGATTATGAAGCGTGTTCGTGTTGCAAACTAACGTCTCTACGCGGCACACGCAATTTTAATAGGAGTTATTATTGATAGAGAACGGATGTGATTTTACAACAAAAGCAAATAAAATCTACTGTAGGAAAAAGGCCTTTTCTGCAGGTTCAGACCTGAGAAGACGACGCCTGTTTGGCCTCTGGTTTGTTCTGCTAATCCGATCTGAGACCCCCTGATTACATCACCATGACATCAGCCTTATTATTTCTCCCGTTCCTGCCACGGGACGCAGTGTGTTCGCAGAGTAAACTGATGCCTGCGTGTGAAACTGGCCGTTGTGTTCCTTTAAGACTATTTAAGAGCATTTAAGCTGCTACATGATACAGATCTGAGACTCCCGGCTCCCCACACTGGCTCTGTTTCCTGTGGGCATGAAGCCCAGCTCAACCCCACCTCCCTCCAAATCTGGTTCTGTGACTCACTGTGCACCGCAGTGGGATGAGAGACGCCAGTAATTGTACCCTCGGTCACCTCATCAGTGTCTCCCGTGTCACTTCTTGCTAAGCCTGCGCCGATAATGTGTGTCTCACGGCTTCTTGTCTCTGTCTCCGTGTTCGTCTCCAGAGCACCGTGGACAAGCTGATCAAGAAGACCAACCTGGCGCTGGTGGTGGGCAGCAGCAGCTGGAGGGAGCAGTTTGTCAGCGCCGTCACCGTCAGCGCAGGTGAGCCACACGCACCTGAACGCTTAACATCTGCTCCTCCCGGCGAAGGCGGACCCGCGCGGTCCGGACCAGGTCCCGCCAGCCGCCTGTCGTGCTTCGCTCTCGTTAAAGCCCCAAAGACGAGCGTCTCAGTTTGAAGTTCTAACGCCCTTCGGCGATTCAGCGTTTATTTGCTGCATCTGTTTGAAGCTGACAGCTGATTAAAAATGCATTACGTGCTGAATTCCTGATGAGCCCCGCCGTAAAAGCGGCTCTGGACAGTTTATGCGACTCTCGGCGCTCTGCTCTTTCACAAAAAGCCATTTGTTTTGTGAAACTTTCAGATTCTCTCACACAAAATCAGTAAATCGACTTTCCCGACCCAGAAGTTTTCATTTTGTTTGTTCCAGCTTAAAGTCAGCAACGTTTGATTGAAAACATGTAAAATAGTGAAAACGTACGGAAGTCCGTTCCTGCTGAGAATTTACCTCATTGTTGTCAAGAACACACATTTCGGCACGGCTCAGCAGCTTCCAAAATGAATAGTTTTTTATTTTCACCTTGTTTTACAGAGCTTTAATTTTATCAATTCAAAAAATCTAATCAAACCACTGCCTTTGAAAAAATGATCTATAATAATCATAAATTATTCCATTTGTAGAACTCCTACCAATTGACAAAACAGGTTAAACAGATTATTGTAGCAACACATACAAAAAAGATACAAGTTTGACCTCAAACCACTTTTATTAGCAATGAAAACTTGATCTGGTTACAGTTCAAACTTTAGGAAGTTACGGTAAAGCTTTCCTTAAAAGAGACACTGAAATCAGAAGTACAGCAGCCAACGGGTTGGTCTCTAGTTCATCAGAGCTCTCACAGTCATCACTTCAGAGTCATTAATGTCAGGGACATCACCGTCCTCTTGACAAGCTGTAACCATAGCAACAGCACATGTAAGTTGATGTACGTGTAAAAAATGTTAGACGTCACAACAGTACCCACTACTAAATGGATACAAATCTTAATTTGGAGTCTGTTTGGCAATAAAACATCAATAATTTGTGGTAAGATGTGTTTACTGTAACTAAATTCAGCTGGTAAAGGGGTCAATATGCATGTGAATTTAGTGGGACAATAAATCGGTTCACTCTCGACTGATTTCCTTTTGGAAAATCGCAGAAAACAAAGTGAGGATTTCCAGGGCAGCCTTCCCATAAAACAGAAAGCGATGGTACAGCTAACTTTCAACACTGGTTCTGTGTAGTTCTGGTACTTTTTCTGCATGTTTAAATTAGTCTAAAAGTCTGTAACTCAGAACAAAAAAGCATTTTAACAGAGAAAAGATGAGATGTGACAGTTCAAGATCAATTTTACATGAAGTTGGTCAATATTTTTTCTAAAAGATGAGAGACATGGTTACATTTAAATTTAATCATGGGGGGAATTTAAACAAAATACAAATGCACGTCATTCTTAGAGGAAGTGAGCCATAAACCATAATAACTTTACAATGAAACTATGCTGGTGTCTTTAAAGCAGAATGAAGTCTAAGCTTGGCTGAATGTGTTGTATAATTACTCTGAGGTCAAACAAATCCCATCGCTGCATTATTCTGTCTGGGAGACGTATTATTACAAATAGTCGGATTACTCAGTTAACCTTCTTGAATATGAGGCTCTTGTCTTGATTTGGAAGATATCTCACATCTTTATCGTGCAATTCTGTTTGCAGCTGCATCTATTTTAAAGCAATATATGCTGCTTGTCCTTTGCACCTTCAGTCGTTGTTTCGATCTCAGTGGTAAAGACATCGATTCGTGAGTGAATTTATGTTTTTAAAATAACAATCAGATCAGGCCGGCTTGTTGGAGTTTTCCTGAACTGAGCGAATAACAAAACCTGCTGTAGCATAATCGTCTGCAATCAGGAGGATATTTTTACCACTTTAAGTGTTTGAGATAATGATTTAAAAAAAAAAAAAAAGTAGACCTAACAAAACATTTTTTTTTCCTTCAGCTATTCTCTATTTTAAAACTGAATTATTATTATTATTATTATTATTATTATTATTATTATTATTATTATTATTATATAGGGAAGGCTCTCTGGTGGAGGGTTGACTCATGCTGTTTGCTTGAAGACAGGACGGTCTGAAGCCTGAAAATCATTCTTTCAAAGATGTTCTTTCACATCGCAGGTCAGCAAATGCGTCTTTACTGCTGCGGTGAGGTATTAGACTCTTCAGTGCATGTTGATATTCACAGCAGCTCTGGAGGTTTGGACGCAGACCTGTCAAAACACAACCTCTTTCACAAAGTGTCAGAACTTCTCTACCATTTTGTTTTCTTTCAGATGATCTCTGATATTCTCTCCGTATAATACCTAAAGGGAGGAAAGAAAGTGATATTATGTTAATTCTGCAGGGCAGATTTAAAACTGATCAGGGCGACAGAATCAGTCACGGATTTTTCTCTCAGAAAAATCAGAGTTTGATGAGGATATTAGCAGGAAGGTGTAGTATGTCATTGTACAGATCTCCTAAAGATTTACTACCACTAGTAAATTCATTGCTTTTAAAGTTTCGCAGAGCTTTTGTTTAAAAGAGGATAACAGAGTAGTTTTATCGTGATGTATTTAGACATGTAGCTACTGAGGTTATATGATAGGACAGTATTTTTCATGAGAATGAGATGAGACCAGATTTTATCCATATTTTCGGTGGTTTTACAACTGCAATAAAGATTTCATTAATGAGTGAGAGTTGTAGACAGAAATCTAAATTGACTAAAAGTTTAATCAGTTTATTTTAAAATCAGCTTACCCCGCTGAAGCTGGTTCCTATTGGTTGCAAACTGAAGCAGATGCTAACTTCAGCATCGGTCCGCTGTTTTTCACAGTGTTGCTTGCAAATAGTTTGTTTGTTGTCGGTCACTCTGCCACAGAAACGAGAATCTGAAATTATTGGAGCCCAGACAACGGGCTTCATCGGCCAAATCTGTCAGCACGACAGGTTTCCTCTCAAATCTCGATGGTAATTATAATTCAGTCATAAAATAAACAGGTCCAGTTCTTGTGCATAAACGGCCACAGTCGGATCCAAATTCAGTTGCACACATTCCTGTTCAGTCTGAACTAAAATGTAATTCGGTGTAATTAATTTTTCTTTGCCGACTGGTTAAAGTCGGATCCAGGACGCTCGACAGGTTGAGTTACCGACTTCGCCTCCTGCACAGACACACGGCAGCAGTGGAGATTAATGACTCGCTTCCAACCAGAACCGACCTCCAGCAGAACCGGACTTAATATGAGCCGCCATCTGCTGCTACTCAACATGTAGGGCAAGCCCAAGGTTTTTGCGGGACCCTGAGGGACTCCCTTTGATTTGGGGAAACTTTCCAACACCAAAGATCGACTGACAGCTCTGTGGTATATGTGGCTTAAATTAAGAGAGTCAAACTCATTTTCATTTTGGGTCAAGATCGATAAAAGTATCGATAAAACTACAAACAGTGTCTCTGCGTTTGACTAATTCCTCTTGAAATTAAATTATATGAAATATGATTTCGCATTCATGTAGTCTAGTATTATACAGACAAAACTGTTGATTTGATTGATAAAATAATATTTAAAATGTGAATGTAAAGCTCTGGAAAAAAATTAAGAGCTAACTGCAATGAATCCTATTGAGAACCTCCCGGTTATTCCACGAAACACAGATTTCCGACTTAAAATATCAGCTTTGTTGTTTCTAAATGAACATGAACTTATTTTCTTTGCATTGTTTGCGGTCTGAAAGCACTGCATCGTTTTCTTTATTTTGACCCTTTTTATTTTCTGCAAATAAATACAAAATTTTAGCTTTGAATTTCAGAGACATGACGTCAGTAGTTCATAGAATAAAAGAACAAAGTTCATTCCACTCAAATATAAACCTATAGAGTGAAATCAGAGAAACTGATCATTTTGCATACACGCTTTGTTCTAACTGTGTAGTTTTATAATATTAATTTAATAGTGGCTTAGCAACAGCTTGCTCCATATATGTCTGTAAAACATCTACTAACGAACAGAAAGGGAGGCTGTAGCTGCCTCAACAGGGTAATTATTGTGAACTTTACTTGTTTTAAAAACAACAACACAGATCCTGCTTGTGTGTGTGAACCATCAATCGGTATAATTGCCTTGACTGATGTCCTCGTGTCGCTAGCTTCCCCCCGGAGCACATTGGTGACACCTGGGTCAAGTCAGGTCTGAATCCTCGTTAGCGCAACGGTGACATCTTGATAACGTTAAGTACAGCAGACAGACGCTTTACGCAGCGCGGGTTCCTTGGTGATGAACAAAACCCCACAAAGCCCAGTGGCAACAGCAGAAGAAAGACGTGCTAATCGCCAGATTTCCTTTCGGGCAGCTGCTGATTCCCTCTGCTTTTGCTTTTCGTTCATGTGCTCCCGCTAGGTGACGACGACGAAGAGGAGAGCGGGGAGGAGCGGCTGCCGTCCTGCTTTGACTACATCATGCACTTCCTGACGGTTTTCTGGAAAGTCCTCTTCGCCTTCGTCCCCCCGACCGAATACTGGAACGGCTGGGCCTGCTTCTTCGTCTCCATTTCCCTCATCGGCGCCCTGACGGCCGTGACGGGCGACTTGGCCTCGCACTTCGGATGCACCGTCGGCCTGAAGGACTCGGTCACCGCCGTGGTGTTTGTTGCCCTCGGCACCTCTGTTCCAGGTGGGCGTCCGTGCCGAGGAATCGACCTGCTCTGTAATCCCCCTGGGTTTTTCGCCTGTGGCGCAGAAGCAGCTGCTCGGGGGAGACTTACGTAACCTCTTGTTCTCCTGAGCTGTCAGAGGAATTATCTCCAATGCTCTCACTTAGCACCTTAACAAGACGTAAACAAAGAAAAACACAGTTCTCACTTGTACGATCGGCTTGTATTACCACGTCGCCGTTTCCTCAATTTATTTTTTTCTTGTGTGTCTTTGAGGCACAACAAGAGTATCTATTAGCCTGACAGGTTTGAGTGAAGAACACAAGCATGCAAAATGGAAGACAGTTGATAGCTTTGTTTAGGGATGCACAACATGTTTATTCAGAGGTTTTGGTAGTCATGTTTAAAATGTGCCTTAATATACCTGTATATATGTGGCTAAAACATTAATTCAGGAGATGCGTTTCGTTAAAATGAGCAGCTTTCTCATTTTAACACGTCCTTCAAATCGGGAATTGCGACTTCTCAGAAAAACGTAAAGAGGCTCGCTCTGATTCTCCGTCCTGCTTCTGCTACACAACACTCAAACATCCCACAAGACGGTGCCGTTTCACTGCTACGTCTTTTCTCGTTTGAACGGGAACACGTTTTGCTTTTAACGAGACATAAACCTCGCAAAAAATGACAAAGTTTCCCCATGTAGACGAGTTTTGTATCTCGTAATTTTGCGAAATCGAGACAAAGAAGAACTGCCCTTGTTACAAACGAGGCGCCGCTCCTGAACTTGTTTCCTAACCCCGGCAGCTCGTGCGTTGCTTCACCCACTCCGCCTGCCACAGTTCGTTTAATGAAATTTGCATCGCTCGTATCTTCCCTGACACTCTGTCAGCGTGTCGCTTTTCTAAACGCTACGTCAAAAGTGTTTCTGCAAAGCTTTTGTATCTGCGTTGAGAGCCTAATCAGTGTGCTCTCTGTGCTCGTCTGTATTTAATTAGGTTTATAAAAACTATTGTGCTTCAAATCAACTTTCAAGTCAAGTTTATATATATACCACAATTAGCGTCTTTAGGGCGGTTTAAAGTGCTCTACATCATAAAAACACAACAATCACAAAGTATGAAACAGACGATCGTCAGTTTGTTTTGTCAAAAGTCGTCATCAGAATCATATTTATTGATCAATGTTCCAGTTACTATGAATCAAAGGCAGCTCTAAATAGGTGAAGGTTTTGGCCTTGGATTAAAGGAACTCAGTGTTTCGGCTGTTTTGCTGTGTTGAGCGACAGCAGTGATGCTTTCTGTCTTCCTGGTTTTAGCGAGAACTTGAGCAGCAGCGATCCGGGTCTGGATGTTTTTTAGGCAAATAGTGAAGAGACTACTGCGGTAACCAAAGCGACTAAAGATAAACGCGTGGATGACTTTTTCTAGATCTTGCTGAGACATTAGCTCTTTAATCAGACTCTGCCTTGAGTCCAGTTTGGCAGCCGATACTCACTCTGTGCTTTACCGGCATACAGATTGAACCGCCTCATTCCTGCAGGTAGAAGGGTCACTGCAGATCCAGAGTGAGTCTCTGTAAGCAATTACCGTTATCCCACAATGACAGATTTCTATCCTGATGAGAAAAGCCTCCCCAAGAATGACAATGCGCCCATCAATAGGCCACCGCAGTTCACAGACGGCTTTGATAAGTCTGATTAGAAAAAAAATCAATGCCAGGAAAACTGGAGCTGCTCCAGTTGTGCAAGGTGACTCTGGGACCTTGCATTTGTCATCAGCCGGTTGCGTAGGTTTAAAGACAAACCCCGTTTCTCTCGTCCTCTCCTCCACAGACACATTCGCGAGTAAAGTGGCCGCCATCCAAGACCAGTACGCCGACGCCTCCATTGGGAACGTGACGGGCAGCAACGCGGTGAACGTTTTCCTGGGCATCGGGGTGGCGTGGACCATCGCCGCCGTTTTCTGGAACACCAAAGGTGAACCATTCAAGGTGAACCCGGGCTCGCTGGCCTTCTCCGTCACCCTCTTCACCATCATGGCGCTGGTGTGCGTGCTCGTGCTGCTCTACCGCAGGCGCCCCAGCGTTTCGGGCGGCGAGCTCGGGGGCCCACGGACAGCCAAGCTCCTCACCTTGTTCCTCTTCCTCTCCCTCTGGTTCATCTACATCCTGTTGGCCTCCTTGGAGGCGTACTGCCACGTGCCTGGCTTCTAAACACAAGGCAAAAAATAAGAAAGTACAGACATGACTCCTCTTCTTGTTTTTACAGTTTTCTCACAAGATTTCTAACTATTTGTATCATCACTTATTATTGATATAGCACAAAATCTAGAAAATGATGCACTTAAGGACTTTGGGACTTTGTTACCGCTGATGACGCTGTGAAAGCTAGCTTTAGCCACTGAAGCTAAACTTTCTTTTCCTACGCTAAAATACTTACTTCTTATGACGTTTACAGAGCTGTGAAAATGTACTTACCCCCCCCGACAGATTTCTTCCGTTTTTCCTTTTTATTTGGTCACATTTACGTGTTTTAGATCTTCAAATAATTTTTAATATCAAACCGTGATAACAGGAGTAAAATAATTGGCACCATAAAAATTATGACCTACTCTCCTTTGCAGAATTTCTTACAAAATCAAGAACATTTGAGGGTTGATGGGCATTAAGAACCTAATTTGGGTTATGCTCCAGGCTCTCAATCAGACTTAGCTCCAGCCTTTAACTAGGCCATTCTGAGATCTTAATTTTTGGTATTTTTTAACCATTTGTAGGTGTTCTTCCTGCTCTGCTTCAGATCATTGTCCCGTATAGCATCAGGATAACTCGTCCTGGTCCTAAAGCAGCAAACTCCCACAAAGACTTCCATCCATTTAAAGTTTTCTTTTTTCTGTCTTATCAGTGCATAGAATATTCTCCCAAATGCCTTTTTTTTTCTTTTTTTTTTTGGTAAATTGGTATTTTGCACTCCATTTTGACGACAGTCTTTCTTAAAACCTCGTTGCACCTGTTGCGTGTGAGCCTTTTGGTTCAAAGGCATCTGAAAACATGATGCTGCAACTAAAAAGACGCTTCCACATCATCTTTTTACACATTCAGCTCAAAGTATAAACAATTTGATCGCCATATTAACCCCCCTGCAATGGATTTTTGAATTTGTAGAAGAACTCCACCATGTGAATGGCACAGCTCTCCCACGCCGTGCATACAGCACATGTTCGCTCCCCGCTGCAGAAACAATGCAAACGTGACTCAGATGTCACAGCAGTCGCTCCGCATTAATCTCACTTAGCCTCACACTAGGCCGTACAGACGGTTTGTACACCTGTGCTACCTGGAGTAGGGAAACCAAAAGTGAAACGTGAGCCATCGCCTACTGATTTTTTTGGCTTTTGATTCATTCCCTGATGGTCGGTCTGTTCTTATATTGAAAAAATAAATAAAACAAGATGGGGACGTCACAGAAAAGTAACACCGACAGTCATTACCCAATTAATCTGTAGCATGCATGGACATTTCGCATCAAAAGCGTCATGCAAACTTAAACCTGATCGTTTAAACGGATGCCCTTCTTCTCCTCACGTTTGAACCCACTTACCAGGTATTTTCAAAACGTAACAAGACAGGAAACAAACAGCGTTAGTGGTAAATCATAACCACTGGCCTTTACTGAGGCAATGGAAAGTCCCTTAAATGTGCTTGAGGATCTGAAACAAATGTAAAAAAACAAAAAAAAACAAAGAAGAAATCTGTGAGGTGCGCAACACTTTTTCACTGTATATAATCAGCTTTGGTTCCACCAAGCCGCTCTTTGGCTTGACATCTGCAGCATTACTTGGTCTTTTTGTGTAACCTACCGATTCAGTTCGCTCAATCCTGACTCGGACATTCGAGATTCCTCGGTGGAGGATGAAAAATTAACGCTGGTGCATGGAGTGACGTTACGTAGAGCTTCGGTGCAATATGAAGGACTCGAGAAGGACAAGACGTGTTTGTGTAATCAATATTAACATTAACTATTCATTGTATATCATGTAAAGGTTGACCATTGTGCGTGGGAGTTTCGTGAAAGACTCGATGTGTTTACTTTTGCACGTACTCAGATTCACGGTTTCTTCTTGGTAATCTATTTTATAAAATGCTGTGTGTGGTTTTTTGGACCTGGCTGTTGAAGTGTTGGTGTATTTATTTATTTTTTTCTGTACATGTGAATCCCAGCTGTTTCATGCTCTCTCCACTGCCTGGTGCCCTTTCCTCACATAGCCTCCTCCATCGGTTTCAGACAGCCAAGTTTTTCCAAGAAATGACCCGTTTTTTTATTTTATTTTGTTTTGTTTTTTTACAACAATTGTGAAGTTGAAGCAAAGTGTTTGCTTTTAGATAGATTTATGAAGTTTACATATACGTGTGCGTGCGTGCGTGCGTGCGTGTGTGTGTGTGTGTGTGTGTGTGTGTGTGTGTATACAGGTGAGCCTTTCTCTGGGATAATATTGTTTAAAGAATAGACTTCACCAATGGGACATGGGTATTGTTCACATTAAAAAAAACAAAAAAACAAGAAAAGTGATAGTTTGTGTGTAGATTTGAAAAACTCTTCTTTTAACCTCTGTCTTGCTGACACTGGTACAACAAAAGCACAGCAGAAAGCAACAAGTGAAGCGATCGGCACAACTAGAAAGCACCAAAAGAGTTCTTGATTTGACTTGAAAAATGTGTTATAAACAGGATGTGTGTACAGTATTACTTGAGAGTGTTACCGTCTTTTTTATTACTGTTATTATTATTATTATTATTTATTTAACCTGGAGTGTGTATAGCCATATTTATTGTTACTGTATTGCTGTAGAGCTATTTCTATGATCTATTTTACTTTTATTTATATGCACGTTTGATGTATAAAAAGTGGAAATAAATGTTGATGATTTATGGTCCCAGAAAGGTTTGCAGTGTTTGTATTACTTTTGTATGTAAAAAAAAAAGGGTTGGGTAACGTTGACATCACCTTTATGCTCCCCAAAAGCAGCAGCAAAAATACAGGGAATGATGTGAAAGGGAGTAAAAAAGGATGTGGAATAATCCTCCGACTGCAGCTCTGTGTCTTAATAACTGTCTTTTTATGGCAGGCAAAAACATCCCTTAATTGCAAACACATTAACTTGCAAGCAAACCTCCTGGTGTGACAAAAAAGATTATTATTATTACTTGTGGGCGCATGCAATTTTCTGTTCATGGTCGAATTACCTTGTACTCTGCTCTATAACTCAAAGATGTTTGTTTTTTTTACCACCCTCCCCATTTATAGACATGAAAAAATCCCTTTTAACTTGTCGTGGTTGCTGAACTGGATGAAGGTCTGGAAACTGAAGGATGTTTTAATTGGGATCATCTGAGGGCGTTCTTGTCCCGAAAATGTTTATATATATATGGCAGAGTCATGCAGCATATACTTTAATTCAAACAAAATATTCAGTATTATTTATGAAAATTACCTCAGTTTTTATATGTAAATCGTTCCTTTATGTACAAAAATGTTTTTTGTAAAAGGGCTAATTAGCTGAAATGCTAACATTTGAAAGTGAAATGCCCAAACTTTACGATTCGTGGTGCTGCAGGTTCTTTAATCCTTCAGGGGGGATAAACAGACAAAGACTTATGAATGTTCAAACTCAAAATAAAATACATAATTTATTTTCGTTTTACCTGCTCAACGGTTTTTTTTTTTTTTTTTGATGAAATCTATCATTAAAGATCCAAAGGCTTCAGACTGTAAAGATAAAGGTAGTTTTATTTATATTGCACATTTTCAGCAACAAGGCAATACAAAGGGTTAAGCGAGGGGGTTTAATGTTGCCTTATTAAAAGAAAAAACAGACAATTTCCAAATTTTTCCTGTTTCCTATGTTGTTGGCCAAATTCTTATCATCTTGGACTTTTGGTCAGGGGCCAAGTAAAATCATTTCAAGGGCTACAAATGGCCCCCGGGCCACACTTTGGACACCCCTCCTCTAAGTTCTCTACTAAACTCATGTAAGTCTCAGATTATGGCTCTAAATTGAAGGCCTATATTTCTCCAAGTCCTTCTAAAAGCACTCGTCAAGGGTGGCCTTCTGTTTTCAGCTTCCTGGATACAGAAAGGAGGAGTTTTATTTTTTCAGACAGAGGAGACTGAAAATAAAGGTGCGTTTTATTTTGGTGTCTGTTTTATTTTCGGTCCCTCCAGCCGCACAGAGGCAGGCTGTCACTACTTAGATCGGTTTGTTTACACACCGTGCTTTACCAAAGTATTTACACCCCTTGAATGTTTCAAAATTAGAATAGTGTGAAAAAGTTAAATATTTTTTGCTGCTCATTTCAGGAAGTGAAGCTCATACTTGTGTAGATTCATGACGCATAAAGTGAAACATAACCTAATACCTACAGAGGATGGAGACCCAGCATTCAGCCTGCCACAACATTACTGTAAAGTGAAAAAGCCATTCAAGAAGGGTGGATCTAAAACTTGCAGGAGTTAGACAACAATGAATGGATATCCCTTAAAAGTTGAGTGGAAGGAAAAAGTGTGGTTTAAGACGATTGTCGAGCAATATCTTTTCAGCGATTTGAGGGAGTTTCCCAAGGAGTGGGCTGAGGCAGAGGTAACGAATCCTGATGTTCCTGTTGAAATTATCCTGTTTTTTAGTCAATTTCACATAATGGTCAACTTTTCTGAGACACCGAATTTTGTTTTTTCATTATCTGTAAGCTGTTATCTTTAAATTTACGAGCAATAAAAGCTTGAAATATTGATTTAAAAATGATATATCTTATAATTTTCATTTTCTGACATGAGGGACAAAAATACTGACCAAATCTTTCTGCGCTTTAGTCGTAGACTCGCATAAAGTGCAGGTGTCAAATGTTGTAATCCCTTCAATTAGCAGATTCGCACATCATTATTTTATCATGAGCAGCAGGTGCCAAGTCCCTCACAAATGGGATGTGAACTATTGTCTGGCTCATGCTGCTAAATTGCAAATGTGAAAGACTTCACTCATTAAAGTCGCAGCTGTGACTGGGGGCTGCTGAGATAAAGTGATTCCGGCGTTGGCAGGGGATTTATCGCGGAAGCATAATTGAGATTGCTTTTCTCTTTGGGGGAACTGTCCAATATGTGTTTTAGGAGATACAGGAGAAAAGAAATGCTGATATAAAATGCATTGTGGCTCTGAATGGATGAAGGTAACAATATGCTGCTGTACAGCCGTTAAACGAAGCTAAGATTTATGCTAAAATGTCAAACGCTGTGCAGTTTTTAGGGTAAAGATAAAATATGACCTTCCATTATCGACGCAGCATGTCTCTACTGTCAGCCATTTTTAGCAGCTGGGAACAGCTAAAGCTGCTCTGACGGCTAAAATTAGACGATAACTCGTGGCTCCAGTCTTTTTTGTGATTTTTCGATTTCCTGGTCAGCGTGACATCCCTGCCAATCATCTCCTTTTCTTGTGACGAACGAAATAGGACACGGTCCTGCGAAAGATAACAAAGCCTCAAAGGAAACCATTACAGAGACGGCAAAAGAGTTGATTGCACGTCTTAAAAATAACTGAATGAGGAATAATTCAGTTTTACACAGCACCAATTCACAACACACGTTGTCTCAAGGCACTTTCGATTCAGACGTTTCAATTGATGCTGGCCATCAAACGGTACTTTCTATGTTGAAGTTAAATAATACAAATAAATGATCAGAAATGTATATGAAAGTATTTGTGAATTAACAATCATGTCATTAATTAAGTTTTTTTCTTTTTTATAATGAAAACGTGATTAAAATAAAACTCAAAAATGGTTGAAATGATAATTATTTTTAGATGGATCATTGAGAAGAAACCTGCTCGTCTATTTATGCTTGGAAAAATGCTAACTATACCACAGAGCAGGTCATTAGAAAGCAAAATAACTATAATTTCATTTTTTTTAAAATTATAAGGTTTTCAGCTTATTTCATTTAAGTAAAATTCATTCTAAAAATCAAACAACATAGTTCCAAAAATATAATTGTACAGCGGTGCTTTAAAAGGTACGAGGACAATACGAAAATATTCCTACAGCACTCAGATCACTGCTGGCTGGCAAGAAGAAACCAAAAGCTGAAGGGAAGAAGTCTTGTTTGCAGTTTGCAACAAGCTATTGCCTGCAGCAAACATGGAGGAACTTTTTAAGCTACATGGCAAACAATATGGAAAACTAATTAATCACTTTTCTTGCCGGAAGAAAATCTGTTAGGTTTTCCTGCAGGGATCTCAGATCGGGTTGGTGGTCCACCAAAAAACATGGATTTCCCACCCCTCCAAGAAACAAACAAACAACATTTTCATTGCAACGACGAAGATCTAAACCTATTTAGTTAGAATGATCTGGTAAAAGTCATGACATAGATCCATTCGAGAATTTGGTTTGAAATCTGATGTACACAGACTCCATCTGATCTAACTGAGTTTGTGTTGAGTTGCAAAAGAAGCCTTATAATATATATATTTTTGTATATCGCTTTTCTAAACACTCGTGTAAAATTACGAACAGAACACTATGTACATAAAAGCAAAATCATAAAAGGAGAACACTTAAACACATGTAAAAATAAATACATAAAACAGGACAGGAGTTATACAAAGCTGTTCTGAAAGGGTGTTTTCCTTTCAGCCTTAAAGTAATAATAAAACGTGTAAAAGCAACAAGCATAATTTTCACATCACAAGTATAAGCTACTCTGTGTTAGTAAGAGTATAATTAAAGGGGGAGAAAATTTGGCAATTTAGACAACACTGATGCAAAGTACGAGAGCATTTAAGCAAAAGTATTTCAAAACAATATAAAAAAACCAAAATTCAACACTATTATAATTAAATTAGCATCGTGTCACCTGTAAAACTGCTCGTCATATAAAATAATATTAATTAGCTTAAATCACATAACGTTTGATATATTTTTCTCATTTTTACTGTGTTTACTATCCCTCCATTTGCCCACTTAATCAATCAATCAATCAATCAAATTTTATTTGTATAGCACATTTCAGCAGCAAGGCGTTTCAAGGTGCTTTACATAATTAAACAAAAAAAAAGCACATCATGTGACATTGAATAAACAGTAAAAAGGAGAAAGAGATTTTGAAAAAAAAACATACTTTATTCCCCCCCCACACACACACACATACACACACAACACCACCACCACCACCACCAGCCCGCACGTGCTGCGTGCTCGCCCCTGCTCCGCTCGTCTCGTGCGCGTCGCCATTGGTGTGGGATGATGTCATCCACGGCGGAGACAATAGAGCCCACCTCCCCCGTCAGTGTCTCCTCGCCACACGCGCACCGCGGCTCGGCGTGACACACGCGCTCGGACGTGACGCCAGCTGAGTGAGCCAAGCACTTCTGATGACATTCGCTGCCGTGTCGGTTCAGTCCGGAGCCCGACCGAGCTGCCGAGCATCCGCCACTCAGACCGGGGCTGCTCTCTCGCTACGCTTCCACGCAGAGGAAAGTGTCACACATCTGGATCGACACATTTGACCCACCGGCTCGTTCCGCTCGGGGTCCACGGCATGAAGCGTGGGGATTTGTGACTCGGCTGCGCGTGAGTGATGAACACGGAGCGGGACTCTTGATGTAAGTCATGTTTAAATCTCAGTGATGTTGGTGACTGTCGGCCTCAAGCAGCAGGTTCCAACAAAGAGCCGCAGAACAACCTCCACCTGCGTGGCCCGATGACTTCCACTACAATAGCAACGTGTTGTTAACGTGCCACAACACGCAGCGCGCGCCCCTTCGTTTTTTGTTTTTTTGTTTTTTGTTTTGTTTTGTTTAAAACCCACGAGAAGGTGGCATATGTAGGATGATTATTGGTTCTGTTGGGGTGAACAGTGCAGATTTAGGCAGGGAGAAGAAGTGAAGGGACAGGCCTGCTGGTTCGGGCCCACATCAGCTTTATTTCTCATCATGGTAAAGGTTGGCAAGACCGCAAAGATGCGATAAAACATAGAGTGGGGGGAAGAGGGCAGTGCGCCACCTAGCCGCAGAACAGGAGTGAGTGTGTTTTTTCCATCACTGACCTGCAGAGTGGCCCTGAAAACAACAAGGCAGAGGAAGAACAGCCAAGATTGTAGAGCTGATTTACTCACCACCATTTGAGCCTTTTGTTGTTGGTGCAAGCAGCATCGGTGAAGGATTAATGGCTTTAACAGAGGAGACTCTTTATATCGGAGCTAATTCGTTCTGTTTTCTGTTGCTTTTTTTGAAGGACTGCTTAGACAGAAACTAGTCTGCAGAAAATGTGACTGGTTATAAAACTCACAAGAACCATTGAGGTGCAAAAACAAACAAACGAAAAAAACATAACTTCCCGTGAGGCGTTTATTGCACTGTATGTATTTTAGATGCCAGCACGAGTCTTTATTGTGACAGGGTCATGCCTATTGATCACCCCACAGAGAGTCATCACTCAGCAGCACAGCTTGACGCTGCTTTCACACACCATAGACTTTTGACTCATTGCTTATGTAAAACCACAGGAACCCTTGTTGGTGACAGAGAAATGTTTCGCTAATGTGCTTTCCTCATGAAATCTAAAGTTTCTGATGCTTGTGGGGATTAAAATAAAACAAAAAAAACAAAACAAAAGAAAGATGCCACTCTGGCTTGAGGGTGATCATTCACAATAAGACAGGTGCAGCCTTTCTCTACGAGCAGTTAACACTTATTTCTAATTGGCCGGCTCTATAGTTCTGAACTGTGTGCTTAGATGGAGCCATTTCACTATTTGCTGTGTGCATGGATGTTCCACATCGCTATGTGAAAAAATCAATCACTACTTATCTCTGTTGTGCAGTTCTATGTACTGTATGTAGGCTTTACGCTCAAATACTCTTGTCAGCATTGTGAACCAGAAGTAGACCCAAAGTTATGCATTTTATTTATTTTTTAATGATAATAACCCTTCAAACTGTAACTATCTCACCTGACCAAATGCGAGGTCTGATGCTGAGTGCTAACAGCCACTAAGTCTCCACGCAGACCGTCGTGGCGTCGCAGTGAAGCATAGATCACTTAATGAGGTCTTAGAAGCTTTGACCTTTAACACCTAAAGGAATCGTTCCATCCTGCAGCCGAAGTGAAAGGCTTGCAGCAAAACCAAAAATCCCCTTTCGGGTGTTTGAGGGATAATATGTTCACGGAGACGAACCATGGAAGGACGACTTGACAACACAATGCGTTTGGCCGTGGTTGGCGTTGGTGTGAACACATGAATAATCGGCACGGGGGGAGGGACGGCCTCAGGTAGGCTCGTTCTGAACGCCTCAGCGCGTTGGATCTAAATATAAATAGATTATTTCGCAATATTAACCGGATTTTTTTGTCTTTTTTCTGATTGACATCTTTTTTTTTTTTTTTGACCTGAACTTCATGTATGATTTATTAGAGGAGCTAAATGCTTAATGAGAAGACACAACATTTTGGTTCACAAACAGTTTTTGTTGACCCAGTGTTTCATAAATCTCAAACTATGTCTTAAAGTCAACACTGGATTCAAGGATTCGTCTAAACACGTTTCCCCAATTAACATCTGAAAATATTGAAAGTTCCCAAACAGCAGTCTCATGTGAACGAAGCCACAGTTTAGCAACGTTTATTCTCTTTAGTCTTCAATAATTTACATGGCGTATCACCTCTGTATTTATGATCAGTCGGCTTATTTAAACATGGACCCAATGTGAAATGGGATTATTCCTGAAAAATGTCAAGAAAGGTAGCTTCTAAATTGTCCGACACCCTGCAAGAAAATATTTCTGCCACAAAACAAATGCAAGACGTCCAAAACCAGAGCTGAAAGTATTGAGCGATGTAATTTTGCTCATGCAGGCCTGGGAGAGAGAACTGATTTCTATGTATGTGAGTGTTAGCAGAGATAGAGGGCGCCAAGCTTAAAGCTCTCACCCTGATATCAGCGGATTATAAAGGAGTAAACCTATTTTATACAGACGACAGCCAGAAATGACAGCAACTGGATAGCAGCATCTGCAAATCAAGATGTATTGCCACATTTTAATACTGTGACCTTTTTGTGTCATCTTACTAATGTTATGACGAAATAGCGAACCCAAACAAAACTCGACGAATTATCACTTCACATAACCTGCAAGACAAAATCCTGACTGACCGATTCGAGGAAGTTAATTATGCATCTAAACTTTGGTTCTCTGGGGTCACACCATTCTCCAAAACGTATGTCCCTTAGAGTCACTTAACCCAAGTTTAGTGATAAAAGTAACTTTTTTTTTTTCTGTGTGTGCTGTGAGGCTCTGAGGTTGTGTGAGTTTCCCACCGTTGTTGTTTTTGTTGCTTTTCCTTGAAGACCGTCTGGCGCCGATTCCAAAGGGGGAAAAGAAAGAGTCTGTTTTTATCCACTTCAGCTCATAGATGTCACTGTTGGCTTTTTATGTTCAAGCCATGCAGACTCCTGTCAAAAGGAATCGTCTCACATTTTATTTGGGTTATTTTTCTGAGGCGGACCTGAACACTAAATGGTTTGGGGGATTCTCTTTGCTCCAAAGGTTATTGTGTACCTGAAGAATGTAGAGGCTATATTTAAAGATCAACCTAATTACTCTCATGCATACCATAACGTGCCGCACAAACGTATTGCTTCCTATTATAGCTGCTTTTGTTTAATTAGGAGTATCTGAGTCAATTTAAACATGGAACATGCTTTTTGTTTGCCTCCTTTTTGGTACTTCCACCTTGACTCACCCTGTCACATAAAACATGATGGCGTTCTCTCACCTTTAACATAAAGTGCAAGAGGGGTTAATGCTTCTGTGAGGCTCTATCCAAGCCAGAACTTTTTCCATCTGAGGTCCATTAAGGTTTCAGTTCTTGCTAAGTCCGCCTGTATTTTGAGAAGATTATTTAAAATATATTCAAAGTAGATTACGTTTGGTTTTATCTTCACCTGTCAGAGGGCTCAAATCTCAGCCAACGACAAAATCTTCTTTTCAGGCGAACTCTCTTCACAGACTTCTATTTTTGGAGGCTTTTTGTTCTGACTTTCTGAAAGATCACACTCCCGATTGCGTGTTTTAATGCATTTTTCTTGAGCAGTTCAGTGGCCTATAGCTGGCTTAGTTTAACATATTCCCTATAAACGTAATCGTAAACTTTCTTTCAAATAATGAAAGTAAAAACCCTTTTTTATTTTTTAATCTCAGACGGGGATTCTGATGCTATTTTTCCTGAGATTTGTCCACTCAGGTTTGTCCGCATGGTAAATCCGTCAGGCTGAGAAGAGAAGAAGAAGAAACTGCTGCATGTTTTCCATCACGCTGTTCGCTGGTTTTCCTCTCCGCTCTGCAGCTTCAATCACTCTGTCTGCTGACTGCGGACGTTAAGGGATGTAATTATTTTGACTTGCCCCCTTCTCGCCTGACGTGATGTGAGGTCTGACGAGACGGACGAGCGAATTTAGCGCATATCTGGAAAGGGCCTTTAACCTGCATCAGTTGCGTCTGCTTTCCCCCATGTAATGGAAAACGTTATCATGTGCCCCTCACCCTTCTTGTGCTTCAGATTGTGTCTGCATGATCTCGTCATGAGATTGGTCAAGATGCTCTCCTATAAACCTCTACAGTGCCGTATAACAGCAAGAGTTTCTTCATCCTGGAGACTATCTAGGTGTTACTCCACCAACGTAGAAGTTATCTGCCCTCTTTAGCATCAGAGAACAACCTCCTTTCCTTAACAGCCAAATGTCCAGACCATCTGTGTTGGGCTCCACAGAACTGTTGGTACATAACAATCAGGGATTCACACCTGTTGTCCAATCGAGTCTCTCTTCTCTGACTAGAACCTGTAAAAGGTCAGAGCAGACTTGACGGACTCCTTCACCTTGCAAGGTTTTAATACGTTTCTTATTTCTTCTCATCCAGACTCTTGTTAAAGTAATTTTTTTACACGACCCCCCCCCCCCCTTTGCCAGTTCATCCAAACGGATCTAAATCAAACGGCACCAATCGTTATCGGGGTGTATTATAACGCCAGCGTTAACGCGCCGCTTCAATTTGGGCGACTGAGTCAGGGCGAGTCGCTTTGTTTATTTCCTGTGACATCATTAGATTTGTAACGTAAGCCTGAATAGAGTTTGAGTCATCTTGTAGTTTTTCTTTTTTTCATTCACTGCACTTGGTTGAACAATTCATCAGTCATTTGATTTGATTTTTGTGTTGATCTAACTCCTTATCCGTTTGTTTGTTGTTGTTTTTTCAGTTTTAGTCACGTCCCTGAGCTACACTCTATAAACAACCAGCTATTTACTCCTTCATTACTGATAACGACAGACCCGGCTAATGTTGTCGTTTTCATTCCGAGTCCTCAGAGCTACGCCCCACTGGGCCGCCGGAGGGATGTGACATCAGCATCAAGGCTCCCTCTGATCCCCTGCTGACTGTTTCCTCTTTGTTTTTAACAAATAGGCCTGGCTCCAGACTTATTTGTATATTTAACGATCGCCTCTGATGTTTACCCGAGTGCATTTTTTTTTCTTTCTTCCGTTTAGCTTGAACACGATTGAATCTATTTTCTCCTACCTCCTTGTCCAGATGTGAACATCTAGCGCT